GAGGACTGTGTAACAATATCGCAGACTGATCAACATTCCCAGCATAAAGGTAAAGGGGGTGAGAATGTTAACGTGGAGTTTGGAGAGTTCTCATGAAACTGCTCAAAAGGTCCAACCATACTACATTTTAATAGGCAAGGAAAAAATTGTCATAGTGAAGGCGTGATACGATGATATAGGATAGGTGAATATCCCTGCAAAGAAAAAGAGATACCACAACTGTTTAACACACTTTTGGTCAAAGGATTGGTTTCGTTTGTCTCTGACGAGTTGTAGTATTGTGCTAAGAATGGCAAGACTCACTGACGATGCCGGCGAAAAGTCTGGGAATGTTCCACATCCACGGTCCGACTTTGGAAATTATCATGTATACAATGGACTCCGGACTAGGTGCATTCCTCTAAATCTTCCTAACAATATGACCAAGTTGCAAAAGCAAGGGTGAACTACTATACAACGAAAGTAGTCTGCGACCACACAAAAGGCCACAACCTCTTGGTCTTCATATCTTCGATCACACTATAGTGGTATTGTTGATAAGGTCAAGAAATATCTTGTCTTTTAAATCTATCGCATTCTTTACATTTATAGTTAACATGTTTGGAGACTATCATTTACTTTTAAATAGCTCTTAGTCACAATCTGGCTGTCTCGAAGTTTACTCAATATGAATATATATAATGGGAAAATGCAACTGTTTCATTCACATTCACATTGTACGTGTGATAGACTATTGTCCTGGTTTGCCTTGAAATTTACCTCTCTTCTGTGTCCCACTGGCACTCATGGAAATGTGACGTAGTGGTAACACTGAGAATATACACTGCATTAGCCGGATTCTATTCTTTTTTGGGATGCTCATAGAGCTAGGTGATGTCGAACCTTTAGTCTCATCTGAATGAGAATACTTCCTGAGAGAGAAGGGTAAGTGAGTCTTATTCATCACATAATAGAAATATTCATCTGAAAATCATTCACAATCTCATGCAAACCGATAGTTTGTCTTTTCTCTTAATTATTACCGCTTGGTTGCCATTTGCTTAAACATTATTTATTGATTTATCATCTCTCAGCTTTCTTCCAACTACCCTGGTGTACAGGCTTCACTTGCATCTATTGTTGCAGCTCAGCAGCAGCAACAGACACTAGCTCTTCAACAGCTCCAACGCCAATCACAAATGGCTAATTCAACTTCAGTTACAGACGAATCGAATTCTTCTCCTGTTGTCACTTCTGGTCAGACTACAAACTTCTTATCCTCATCTCCATCTCAACCAGCTATAGTATCTTCTGCTCACTTGGGGATGAGTAATATTAATCAGGCAGTCTCAGCTTATTCGAAATCCCTTTCTATTTCACCATCTGAACAAAGGTCGTCACCTCAATCTTCCCTCTCGGGTTAGTCCTTTTTATTTGAACATGTATACTCAGACTAGCAAGTCGCTATTCCTCTCTTACTAACACTTTCATGGAATGGCCAATTAAATATCTAGCTATTGTTATTCATTCTCAAACGTAATGGTCAGCTTGCTGCAGAGTATTTTTACTGAGCCACCCCTGAGCTTGGGGTCGTCTTGTCGACATTAAACCATAAAAACCTTCTGACTTAACTGTCGCTAAACTCTATATAACCAATTATTTTTAATTTTCGTTTTGTTTTTTTCAACTCTATATTTTATGACATAATGCAGTTATAATTCTTGCATCCACTCCTTCCTCACCTCAAATAAAATAGGATGAACATAACTCATAATTCTTGCTACTAGTACCGTAAAAATTTTGTCACATTATTTACTTATCGAATTTTTTCACTTCTATATTGTCTTTTTATCATCATAGATAGAATCAACCACTTTTGGTTATGGGTCTAATTTAAAAATTTCCAAATAGCCTTATTGACTGCACATTTAAAGGGATTTTAGGTCGTCTTTTTTCTTACTCCGCGAGTTTTATTTTCTGAGGTAGAAAAATGCAGTGTACATATTACTGAATGTTTATGTTTACTTGGAGCTTTATTAGAGAACGAAAAGCTTTTATTTTAATTTTCAGGTAGAAGCATTGCAAGTGTTTCCACACCAGCCGTCGACCCACCCAAAACCATGGATCCACTGTACATT